TAAGCTTTAATATATTTTTATATATAATAGTTATATAAATATAAATGTTAGATAGTTAAAAATCTAGTAAGCTCTTAGTATAATTCTTAAAATTAGCGTTTTTTTTTTATGTTTCTTTTTGCTACAGCACTGTACCTAGGTATCCGTACGTCCCGCAGGTTCCTTCACGCAATACCTGCCACAGGTAGGTGCCGTAGGCACCTTAGTGGGGAGGTAGGCACCTACAAAATCCTACACACCGGGCTGTATCATGCACCTTTCACGCTCTGGAAGTAAGCTCAGTACTTGCAACTTCGTTATAAGGTATGGAAAGAATCGCAAGAACCGCTTTTCAATTCATGTATACGCCACATTAATAACAAGGTCGGTGACGCAACATTTTTCACGCGATATGAACAAGGCAACCTCTGTAGGCAGCTAGTTGCTCGTTCGTCTCCAAGAAAGCCTTATCCTCAGATCAGCAGCCATGCCAAACCACCGAGTATGCCGACGCCACCAACCATTTCCAGGGTGCCTTTCCACCGAAAGTCCCTGAGTTGTAGCAGACCTAGGGGGTCATGTTCCTTCACCAGCACATCTGACCCAAAACTGTGTCTTCTCTTCCTGAGAGAATTTGGTCGCCCCCGAGTCCGTGCCAGTGCCATGGATGGACCTCTGTCATCTGAAGACAAGTCTACCTCTCTCCATGTTCCTCTCAGCCACACAGATGCCTGCTCTCGCGATCTTCGTTCTCGCATTAGCCGTTCCCTAACCAGACTGCGCTGTAAATCTGCAGCCCAGTTCGTCAGTTGGAGGCGGCAGAAGCGCTCCTCGTGCTGGTTGTAGTTCGACACGCGGCTCACAGCGAGAGGGTTCGAAAAATTGGTCCTAGTGAGAAGCATTCTTCTCTCTGCTGTCGAACCTGTTTGTGCTGCGATGGCGAAAGACGCGTTGCCCGTGGCAGCGCCCCGACGACGCCAACCAAGTAGCTTCTTTGCCGCGTTGTGACGCAAGCATGCGGCCCCGTCGAAGCTGAAGATATAGCTCACTAGGCTGGAAAGGTCCGTCGGTACTAGAGGTTGAACATATTCCGGACTCATTAGGATACTAGCATCCATTACATCGTCGTCTGTGCCGGTCTTGCTAGAGATTGCGAAGATGTTCAACGTTCCTGCCGCATCCAGACCTTGTGAAGTAAACGTAAAAAGGTCAAGACCAGCATCGGCTAGCTGGCGGGAAATCTGTTCTTTGCTTTTTGCCATCTCACCCGCTGTTAGCAAATCTGCCTGCGCCAGGAGAGGCACGACGTTCGTAAGCGACTGAAGCTGGCGAATATAGTGCAGGTCGGTCGAACTGAGGCCTGTACATGTTCAATCATAGGTCCCCGCAAAAGTTGGCTTACAGACTCACCTGAAGAGGAAATCATATACAGCACGGCATCTACAAGTAGACCACCTCCTCCACTAATGGTCCTTAAGACATTGGAATCATCGAGGTCGTCGAGTCGACATTTGTGCAAGTGTGATTCGACGTAGTGCGAAACTTGCTCAACAGTATCGGACGGCTGAGATGTCAGCAGTGGTAAACAGGCTACGGTACGAGCTGGGATGGCATACCCGACATGTTTCCTGGTAACCTGGCGTGTCAACAAAGCAGACGTTCCTATCTAGAACCATGTCGCCGGCAGTATCAGAACCAGATAGGGAACCGATCGAGGTTGGTTCTCTCCACCACTGCGGATACGGCTTTGTACTGGCGAGTGTTTTCGTAATCCGAAAGGGACCCTGGGCCATTGGAGGGTCGTAGGGAAGTGTATTCGTTGACAGCAATCCGGTGGATGCCATGGCGATAGGCACTGTGGGATCAACATGCACAACGTGAGGACATGACTGCGTTATAGCTCTGATCAGAGATGTCTTCCCAAGACCTGAGGTTTGATCACAGTCAGTAACCATTTTCGATCCCTCTCGGCGGAAGACACGGGCATGTACCTGATTTGCCCGCCACGAGCAATTTGAGCCTCCCCAAGGATTTTCCAACTTCGGTAAATGGTCGTCGGCTGGGGACACTGATTGTAGGCATTATAAACTGTTGGGCACCCTCGCCGTTGTACGAGCTCTGAGCTTGACCAGACTCAGAGGCACCGAAGGCGCTCATGACGAAGCTCTCTTGGTACTCGGACAGCGACCCTGCCAACGAGTTTCGTCGCGAGGAGGAGCTGCTTATGGCGGAACATGGGCCGGAGACGCCATAAAGGATGGGTGTCATGGGTTGAGACGGTGTCGGCGGCGGAGGTGTCTGTATTCTCGTTGGCGACCTATTGCTTGTGACTGGAGGTCGGTTTTGTATGGCTTCACGAGGTTGCAACGTGGATGTGAGGTTAGGACGGGGAGCAGGCGCAGGGGGCGCTGCACTAGAATCACGGCTCGACGCGGTGCCGGCAGGAAGATGGTTGTGTATTGGACGTTTTCGATCGCGAGCACGAGGATGGGTGTGACAAGGCGACGGCAAGGCTGTTTCCACGGCGGTCTCATCTGCAATGATGAAGCACATTTGAGGAGTTGAAGACTGCGATGTGAAGCGATCGGCAGCTCCATCACCAGACAAAGCGTGCCCTGAGAAGGTGCTGCTGCCAGGAAGAGGGCGCATTTTGAAGCCGGCTTATCATCAGTCCAAGTTGATAAAGCAGCTGCTGTGTAGTTGGAAGAGATGGGGTGTTCGGGGAATCAGCTGGGCGAACGGGCAATATTCAGACACAATCTAGAAGGTTGTCGGGAAGACAAGACGTAAGCGCAGTATGGTCGTTGGCGGATGGAATGGTAGATAACGTTCAAGTCGCAAGCTGATAAGATTCGGTGGGCCTCTTAAGGGGCGCATGACCACCTCAGTGACATGCGTACAGTACTCCACGTCCTCAGGGAGGCACCCAATGTGGGGTGTTGGGGCAGAACACCGCTGACATAAGCCCACCTAAGAACCTAGCTATCTTACAGTGTGAGTAAGGCATTCACATTTGGGGGTGCTTTCTACTACGTAGTAGGTTCTATTACCTTAGGTATCCGTACCTTACCTTAGGTATGATGTGGGGCAGACTGCCTCCATGGGTGAGCTGATCCAGGCTTTACCCGACCCGCTGCGGCTGGTCGCTTCATTTTACCCCTCCATAGGTACCTACTTAGTTCAGAGGCTGTATTCTGTAGTCTCGGCAGGTCCCCTAATCGTCACTCGTCTCTCCCTAGGGCCTGACTCACCAGGCGGACACGAAGCCCCCCATCGACAGCCGCCGTATGCAACAGCTACCTACCTGCCTTACCGTCTCGTCCCATCTCAGTCCCTACTTGACGACAGGCCGCTTGCGCATCCATCACAACCACACATTCACGCACTTCTTGCCTCCCTATACAGCCGTACAGACACAGCCTCGTGAGGCTTCACTTCACAAAGAGAACACGGAACAAACCGCGACTGTCAAGTGCACTCGACTTTTCTGCGTACCGACCCGAGACGCTTATTTTCTGGCTGGTGCAGTCCAGAACCACTCGTTTTCTTCTTTTCTCCTGCGCGAGCAATTCCTTTCGAAGATACCCGACCACAGATCAGCTCGCCCATTTCGTACGAACGCTTTCGATCATCATCAGACATGGACGGCAAGAGACATCCGAGCTCCTTCCAGCAGTTGGAGAAGCTAGGCGAAGGAACTTATGCCACGGTACGTCCTTCTAGCACTACAAAATTGTCTCCTCCGCTGACAATTGTCATAGGTTTTCAAAGGTCGCAATCGCCAAACGGGAGAGCTCGTTGCTCTCAAGGAGATCCACCTCGACTCGGAGGAAGGTACACCTTCAACAGCAATCCGAGAAATCTCCCTCATGAAGGAGCTCAAGCACGAGAACATTGTCGCACTCCACGACGTCATCCATACAGAGAACAAGCTAATGCTGGTGTTTGAATACATGGACGGCGACCTCAAGAAGTACATGGATACACACGGCGATAGAGGGGCCCTGAAGCCTCATCAAATCAAGTCATTCATGTACCAGCTTTTAAGGGGCATCGATTTCTGCCACCAGAATAGGGTTCTGCACCGAGATCTCAAGCCACAGAATCTCCTCATCAACGGCAAAGGGCAGCTGAAACTTGGCGACTTTGGCTTGGCTCGCGCATTTGGCATCCCTGTCAACACCTTCTCCAACGAGGTGGTGACGCTGTGGTACCGGGCACCAGATGTGCTTCTAGGTAGCAGGACATACAACACCAGCATCGACATATGGTCTGCTGGCTGCATCATGGCAGAGATGTACACTGGAAGGCCCTTGTTTCCCGGAACAACAAACGAGGATCAAATCATCCGCATTTTCCGCATAATGGGAACACCGACTGAGCGCACGTGGACCGGCATCACACAGTTCCCTGAGTATAAGCCGACATTCCAGATGTATGCCACTCAGGATCTACGCCAAATTCTGCCACAAATTGACCCAACTGGTATCGACTTGCTTCAGAGAATGCTCCAATTGCGCCCCGAACTTCGCATCAGCGCGCATGAGGCGCTCAAACACCCCTGGTTCAACGACATTGTGATGCAGCAACACCAGCAACAAGCCTTGCAGGCGCAAGCCAGAGCTTATCCGGGCCAGGCTTCGTACGACGCGTACTGATTGCGATGGTTGAAGTTGACTCGTTGGGTATGGGTTTCAAGGCGTACGGTCTTTGATTCCAAGGGAGAGTTTCTGAAACTTCGTTTTGGCATTTCTGGCATAGTCGGATCCGGCGGGAGGCATCTCGGGGCCTTGGGTCTTTATTTTCCATTGACTGTTGCAAGACTGTTGTGAAGCAGGTCACACAAAGTCGAAGGGCACATAAAATTGTCGTAACAAGCGCATTCAAGCGATACAGGTCGACCAGTGGACTGCTTTATTCTATAGCTTGCTCTTGCTTTTATTTTCAACAAGAACCCACGGGGCTGAACTATGCATGCCGCCAATTCCTTGATATTCATGTTTTCTAGGAAGCGCAACCTCCTATTCCTTACGGACCAGACTGTCATCGACGGGGCTTTGGAAATGCTTTGTCTTGGGCTCTCTCTCCCAGGTTTTTGCGAGCGCGTACGAATGGTCATCATCCGAGTAGCCCGCCTTGAGCCTCAGGTTCTGAACCATTGCCCTGACAGTTTTGGCGACCTCCATGCGTAGTCGAATAGCCTCGGGGTGATCTTTGAGTACTTCAGGTACCTCGCCAGCGTTCAATGACCTGCCTAAAACCTCCTCTTGCTTTCGTACCATACGCTTCCATTTTGAGCGTGATTCTCTAAAAACTTCATCAACGTCGACGGCGCTGCCGTAAATGACTCGGATCTTAGCACCGATGCGCGGTAAAAACCGTGGCCATTCTCTGTCCTCTGGCATGATGTTTTTGAATCCATCGATGAAGATGGGTACCAGCTGGGGGGCAGGGTCGGACTCGAGGATCAACCGCGACACTCCCCATTTGAAGTATCTCAGGGCATTCTGAGGATGCTGATGTACACATCCCTCCGGAAAGACATGGATCCACGCGTTATGATTAACGCCGTAAAATGCGGGCGACTTGAAGTTCTCGTTGGCACCAGCCTTGAAGGTAGCGCCACGAGTATACACAGAGCCCGGTCCGGAGAGTATGCGGATAGCCTGGGTCATGGTCGGCTGAAATAGCCCTCCGTGGGGAGAATGCAGCATTCGGTAAGTTGGTAGGACTTGACCAAGAGTGAAGAAGGTCGTAAAGAAACTGGAATATGAGTGAGTTCAATGTTACCAAGACTCGTGGTCGAGAGGGATTATTATAGACCTATTCTTGAAGCAGATGTCGTGAGCTCCCAAGCTCCAACGGCTGTTTTCGGGAATCATGTTGTACCTGAGTGGCAAGACTCCCCATATCAGGGGGTCATCCAGACTGCGGTTTCGAGATGCATCAGCTTGACGCATTCGCTACGAAAACCATACAAGTCAAACCCACACGCTGATATGATTAGAGACTGCGTGCGGGAACCCATTATCAGCGAATCGCGTTCTTCACCAAGAGGGGGGTTGCGGACGAGTGTGGTTGATAGAAAAGCATAAATACCGGTAATCAGACCACGATCGGCATGGCCAGCACGACGCTTGTCCAAGAGGCGCAGAAACTCGGCTTGACCCTCCGTCTGAATATCGTTGAGTGCGTACAAAAAGACTCGAGAAATTGCTCCTGTCAGGGTCATGACAGCTGCTGATGCCATGCGCCATGGCAAGCTGGGCCGATCTGGCACGGCCTCGGTGGCCGCCATATCTGTTGCGCAGACAACGACCTGCTGGATGACGCCGCTTTTAAATTGATGGAATAGAGCCCCGTGGGAGAAAATTGGAAAATTAGGGGTACGAAGTGCTTTTGCCTGCACTGCTCTCACCTTGCACCTTTCAGAAATGTTTGCAGAAGAGGCAACACGCGTGGCGTACCGGGTGACCAGTGCCTAAAGTGTCATGTACCAAATCCCCCACCACGGACTAAACTGGGACAATGCGACCGGGAGCGGCCAGAATCTCATTCAGTCTCGTCGCAGCGAGGCGAAGTGACTAAGGGCTAATGATACCCGAACGATCCTTGATTAAAGAGAGCGAGAGAATGACAGGCAAAATGGGCGTGAAAAACCTGGGGCTCAACAAACGGTGGATCGCTCTGATGCAATCGCCCCGTTATTAGAAAGATTAAGCCTCATCAATGCATTACACTCCGTTGCGTTGACAGCGTCCGCCCCCCCTTTTTGCCGAAATTACGCACGCATAATCCCTGTATATACATGAAAATTTGCCCAACGCCACGTAGATATTCGTAGTACGGCAATTGACCTATTCTGATGGCTTCAATTGATCTATTTCTATTGAATCTCATTATCTGAGGGCATCGTGATGCCTCCTAAACGCCGCCGCGCGGCTCGGCAGGCGGATGATGACCCTTCTGGGCATCGTCCGTCACCCATCGCCAACGGTACGCGGAAACAACGACGTATACAACAACTGGCACAGGACGCCGCCAGAGATCCTCCTCAACGCTCTGCCTCGCCGTCGATCAGGATCGTTACGCCCGCCGAGAGGGCTCGCCGGGCTGCCGCCGCCGAAGAGGCCGCCGAGGAGGCCGCCGAGGAGGTTATCGTCGCCGAGGCTGGACCCGAGACTAATGATTTGGTGGCGGCTGAGTCTACATCGCGAAGAAAGCGTGTACTTATAGCCCCTCCGTCATCACGAAGAGCTCCAAAAGCGTCCTCTCGCCAAAAAGCAACGACAACGCAGAGGAAGCGAAAGAAGGATCCGCCGCATACGATCCGGCTCCGAAGTACTCTGCCTTCGTCGATGCCACCGTTTCGACCAGACTCGACCCCAGTTAACCCAACCCCTCGTCAAACCACTCGATTTGCGGACGATACGCCTACGGCCCCTCGCCATAGCGCTGATGATACGTTTATGTCGTTCCACGATGTATTTGAAGAGGAGGACGATATGGGTAACGAGGAACCAACTCTGCTACAAATCCAGGTTACCCGTGGCCCAGCGCTCAAGGGTAACGGTTTACCTGTTCTCGATCTAACCATCGAGAGCATCGCGTATAACAGATTCAGTATTGCTCCTGTATTAGATGCGAATAGTAGAGACTGGGAGGCAGACAGCGGCGCCCAACTTGAGGCAGAAGTGGCTCACTCGTATATTGTGAAGAAGGCCAATATCGCTGTTGTCGTTGCTTGGAGGAAGCCCACCAACGCATCTAAACCAACACCAATCTTCACTCGGGTCTATCCGTCTACTGGAGGGGTCACTTGGCCAAGTATTCCATGGGTTGATATTGTCCCCTCTCTTGAACAAGCTGAAGAGAGGGGTGAAGTCCACCTCACCGTCAAGTGGCAATACAGCGCCGTACCAATCTCTGGTGGTATAGTGACTGGCGTACGAACGCCTCGAAAAGGTGGCCGAGCAGGCGTTTCAGCCGGCATGCAAGAGGCGATCGATCGTGAGGCTAACGATCCTGCAAACGTCGAGCGTCGGAAGGAGGGTATGCACAGACAACTTCTCCGTACGCACATCTGCCCAGAGTACCAGAGATGTAAGAATAGTTCGGGCGACGAGAAGTTCAACTGGTGCTATATACTAGGCCAGAAGCACTACAAGATCAAATCTCACCATATAGAGAAGTGGGCGAAGGCTATTATGACTGGACAGGCTGGCGTTGACAATATGGAACCACCTAAAGAACTGCTTGGTGAGATTCTTCACGACCAGTTTATAGAGGATCAGAAACGCCAGGGCAAGAGAAGTAAGAATATCGTGGAGGTTGATGATAACCAGGAGACGACAGTGATGACGGAAGAGAAGGCTGAAAATGCCGCACTTCCATCATCAGGGTCAAGATCTGGCCTAACCAACGCCAACAGCAACGCCATCGTCAATATATACGGCAACGCGGGGGCGCCAGATCGTCATCTTCAATATCCTAACCCATACGTACAGCTGCCGCCGCCGGCGCCGCCGCCGCCGGCATATTGGCCATATGCGAACATCTCACAGTATTCGTTGCCAACTCTTCCGCCATTGAACCTTCCAAGCACTCGTCAACCAAGTATCGCACTCCCGATTCGTTCGTCCTCGCCAGTGGTACCGGATTCGCCTCGAAAAGCTCTAGATCAAGTGGCCAGCTTCATCAAGTGGTTTATATCCGTCCGCGGCAAGCGATATAACGTCGACGAAGGGTTCAGAAAGAAGCTACAGAAACTGCGATCAGTAGACAGTAGCTTGCGGGCAATTCGCAAGTTACCAGATATTTGGTTTACTGAACAGGGTTTTACTCAAGATCTTACCGAAGATGTCAGGAACTCGATCAAATCCTTCATAGACAACAGCGCCTACTACGGAGGGCAGTCTGACGCCCTCTCCGACGTGGTATCTCACTCTGAACTTCATTCAAACCATCGAGAGTCAGAAGGAGATGTTTATACAAGAATATACGCTGGATTGCCAGGAGGGACGGCGGCGGCGCCAGTTGAAAACTCTGCGGCGCTAGTTTCAGGCGAGTTGGGGTCATCCCGACATATCGACGCCCTAGTGCCACGTCAATCCATCGAGCAAGAGATCCGTGGTACGCCAGTTGAAGTTGGTCGACGTGGTGAGTGTATATAGAGCTGTTTACTGTCGAATATGGCTAACTTTGTAGGCGTTTCGGAACTCTTTGGTTTCGTTTCGTCACCACTGCTGTCAGCGTCGCAGATGCTGCCCACGCAGTTACAGATCGAACAAGACGAAATCGAGCAAGGCGATGAGGACAATCAGATTGAAATCTCGAGTGATACGTCGTCAACAGAGACGTATTACTCGGAGGAGGATAACGAAGAAGAGTGATACAGCAAGAGTGGTGTGAAGTTTGACTGTATGCGCGATTTTTTTGCATGACGTGTTCAACCACGGAAAAGTCTACCCATAGCCGTAGATTCAACACTGCCGCTCTATACGTATAAAAGCAATAGAATTACTGTTATTTTGGATCTGCAAACAATACACTTCGGTCCATCCCGATACTGGTTAGGGGCAGTTGAAGTCTCTGACTATGGTTGAAGTCTCTGATCGTGATGACGTGTCATCATCACAAATCATCGTCACAAGCATCAACAACGCGTTTCAGCCGTTATACAGGCAAAATTGATATGTATACGTAGCTACCGACGAAAACAATGGACGACGGTATATTTTTTGTGTTCTGGTGCGCTTGTGGCTAACCTTTTGGCAATCTTGTTGGCTACAATCATGGATTTGATGATTGACCATCATATGACGACACGATTAAGATCTATTGCGCGCGAACGCACGATGAAAATTTGGATTGCTTGCTGATGTTCAATATTGGCAGCAAATCCTCCCTTTTATAGTTCGATATCGTCAAATATATGCTCTGTCCCATCAAAGTTGACGAACGAATGGCGGAAATGGCCCTCGATCTGGGGTAGACGATACCCAATCTCCATAGCGCAGTCACGTAGATATTCCATGAAATCCCGAGTGTCATTCTCATCGTTGTTCCACTTCGAATACGTCTTCCTGATGTATCGCTTTAGATCGCCGAAGTACTCTTCGATGGGGTTGAAGTCTGGTGAATACGGAGGCAGAAACTCGAGATGGACACCTGATACCCGGCATAAACCCTCGATTTCAGGTATACGATGGCAGGAGAGGTTATCCATAACGATGACAGAGTTTGGCTCTGGAAAACGCCCACATTTCGGGATAAGGCACTCCTGTAGCCAACGAAAGAACCCATCGCCGTCAGTCGTACCATAATACGTAGTCAAGTGTAGGATACCGCTCAACGTGAGGGCTGGCAGGATCTGTACGCGAGAGTTCTGAAACCGATCAATCTCTGCAGTTCGAAACGCAGCAAGCCCTTTCGGCGCCCATCCAGTCCTCCGTATCCCAGTATCCTTATTGACGCCGGATTCGTCGACGAATACCAGCTGGTCGGGGCGATATCGTCGTATACGGTACAAGTACTCGTATCGTAGTTCGTCACTTCGCTGAGCAGCAATAATCTTGGACTTCTTGTTCGTCCAGCCAGCTGAGTTTAACTGTCGACTGATTGCAGAACGACTGATCTGGATCTCGAAGGCTTCAAATAGGAAATCTTGCATCTCTTCAAGAGATAGATCGCTGCGGTACTGCAGTAGTTCAAGAAGCTCTGTACGATGCCATATTTCCATCTTTTGTCGACTCTGGCGGCACCTCTTATATCTCTGCACTTCGCCAGTGATATTACGTCGTGATCTATGTCGTCGAATCGTTCGTTCGGTACAGCCAACGATACTTGCCAGCTCGTGGGTCTTTTGGTCTTCGAATGGCAGTATCATCGCGATCGTCGATAGCTGTAGATTCGATATTCTGGGCGCCATTGTATCGTCGTCGTCGCCCGGCGTCTTTCTCGATGTATCTGATATAATAAACCACGGACATGTACTGACCAGCGGCAAACTGTAAGTAACAGGGCACAATCTATACAGCAGTAGACTCTTGCTCAATATCGTGAACAAGCTGAGCTATCAGGAGAGTCATTAATCCTGTTGACTGCCAAAGCATTTGCTCTGAAGAACCGTATCAAGCCCCTTGGTATGCTTATATATTACTCAGAGCCATACAAACCGTATGCTGAGTAGATATATAAAGTCATACAGCAGGTCTCTTCTTCTGTTCCTCAGCAAATGTCATCTTGATCTCTCATGACGAAAATAGACCTTTTGTTGGTCGAATGGTATGGGGATGAGGTGACTAGCTGGGTTGGCAATGCCTCGATGGGTAGATTGACTGCTACGGAAGCATGAAATACACACCTTATGTCTCTATCGTGTAGTTATACGTTTGAATACTACTGGGACTATAGTGATTGACGGCAATTGAGGTGTTGGTGATGACTTTGACGCGTTTTGCGTGCGATGCAGAGAAATGCGCGTCACAGCGTAAAATTGGCTTTTTTTCATGTTTTTGCATAAGCGGGGAAAAAAAAGGGGGGCGGACGCTGTCAACGCAACGGAGTGTATGATTTTATCCCGTCGTTCCATCGAGACATACCCCTGTCTGCTTTCTGTGCCCACTGTCGCGACACGGCTTCGTACCTTACCTACCATTCTACGGATACCGCCCCAGGAACTTCTTTGGGCACTGGGTAGCCAGGCACCTGGTTGAGCTTCTCGGAGTTTACTTCCACCTTTTGCCACATCACGTGTGTATACCTCAAGTTACCCCAGGAAAAATTGCAACATAGGCATTTCCGTCATCTCGAAAACCAAATATTTCGGGGGAAAGGCATCAAGAAACGGAATCGGACGGTAAACATGGCTCACAGTAGGCGCGACACCATGACCAAAATATATGCTCTGCCCGATACTGATGTTGACCAGGCAAGAGAAACACTTCGCGCAGTGTTTTCACCTCGCACGAACGTGACCTCGCCAAGGCTGCATGGACCTCTACGTCTGCCCGACTTAACAGAGATTCGTTCCTTCCCTTCGGCTCTTGTTACCTCTGCCTCGAGATCGCCAGGGACCCGGTTTCTTGCAGCCATGGCGATGTCTTTTGCAGAGAGTGCGCTGTTGCAAACCTTTTAGCCCAAAAGAAGGAGATCAAACGCCTAGAGCGTGCGCGAGAGAAGGCCGAGCAGGAGATTCACGAGGCTCTTGCTCGTAAAGATGCAGAAGCTCAGGAACGTGCCATCAAGGAGTTTGAGATGCTACAAGCAGGTTTGAACCCTGCGTTGTCTTCAAGAATCGCGGCGCCATCGTCTTCATCTTCGATACAGGCCGATTCTGGGTCTATCACGGCAAAGGTTGGCTCGAAAAGGAAATTTGTCTTGGATCAAGAAGAGCTGGAGAGAATAGCGGAGGATGATCGCACCAAAGCCAAGAAGTCAATTGAGTACGAAAAGGTCCAAATCTTGCCACAGACCATGATTTTCTCGTGCTGTTTTTTTTAACATTCTCTTAGGCCTCTAAGGAGTCTCTGCCGTCTTTCTGGACCCCTTCCCAGACTCCCGATGCCGAAGCAGCCCGAAAAGCAGCAATTGTCATAAAAAAGGCCAAAATCAATCCCGTCTGCCCCGCATCGCCCGATGACTCTCAACATCCCTACTCTCTCAAGAGCCTTATACAGCTGAACTTCAAAGAAGAAGCCGACACAGGTGCGGATGGAACGAGACGTATCTGCCCCTCCTGTCTCAAGACTCTTGGCAACGCTTCGCGACCACAGCTTGCGGAGAGTTGTGGCCATGTAATATGTCGAGGCTGTGCGACCAAATTCATGGCTCCGGTCAAAGGCAACAATGCTGCGGAGCAGGAGCATGCCTGCTATGTCTGTGACGCAAGACTCGCGTCCAACGGCTCAAAGAGCAAGCCAAGACAATCAAAGCAAGAATTTCCTGGGCTCATTGAACTCAGGTCTGAGGGAACCGGCTTCTCTGCGCGCGGGGCGAACATGGTAGAGAAGACGGCTGTCGCCGCCTTTCAATGCTAGCGAGTAATAAAGACTTGAAGCTGATGACAGTATCGACTTGATGCAAGCAGGGCACGATGTATCATAAGAAGCCAGCTGTATCAGATCAAGAGCAACCCGGATTCTATTGTCATATGTGGCCATAGCCTCGGCGATGGCCCTGGACGGGGGCAAAGGGTGTGCTGTGGCCGCTCAAAGCAGCCTGAGGACCATCTGCCGAAGACGCTGCATCTGTGACCTCGCAGCAGGTGACTTACTTCGCAAGAAGATCACTATGAAAATGCCGAAACGGAGGACCAGTTTGTGAATGATGCCCTTGGATACCATGGTTAGCCCATGGCTAAAAAAGCTCTTCAGCACTTCGCCCTGGAGACCCGCATACAATGCGGTGATGCCCTCGGCTCTAGCGATAGAAATGACGAGAGCGAGAACGCTGTATTCGGCCATTCTCTCAAGCTTGCTTCGCCTATTTTCATTCGATCCGAAGGAAGCGGGACTTTGCGGGTCTTTCTCGAAACAGCTCCCCGCGCTATCAGTGCTTCTCCGAGGCGAAGAACCCCCGGAGCCTCGTATTTGTAACCTGGTCTTGGCGGTCTGTAGTGGATAGCTGATCGTGGTAGCAATGGCTTTGCTAGCGGCAGCGAAGAGAAACGTCGTCTGGGTGTTATGTGAAGCCTCGTCGGAATCGGGCTGGAGGGTCTTGGCCAACTTGTCGTTCAGGAAAAAAGTTATACTTGGGTTGATGGTCAGGAGAAGTGACGCTGAATACCCAGCCCAGAGCCCTCGAATACCATTCTCGGCGCGAATCGCTGCCATGATTCTCCAAATAGATAAAGTGTGCTCGTCGTCTTGATCTTCCATCATGGCCGAAGTCTGTTTTCTCGTAACGACGTTGGCAATGGGTGTTGTACAGGCTCTCGCGCAGGCGCCCGCCAGCGCACCGACAAGTAGCTGCTCGATAGCCGGCAGCTTGCTTCCGCGGGCGCGACGGCGCGTGTCTTTGAAGTATGCGTAAAAGAGGAAGAACAAGAAGGAGTCGGTAACCGACTTGAAGATATCCTGTGCAAGCCCCGTGTAAAGCGCCGAGACGCCTTCCTGCGTCACAACCGTCTTGAGCGCATCGAGGACACCACGGTACTGCTCCTTCTTGGATATGGAGTCTTCTCGCCTCAGCTGCCGCTGCACTTTAAGGCGCGTCGTAACGAGATCGAGAGGGTATACGGCCGCTGTGGAGAAGGCTGTACCTGTAGCACCGGCGAGGGCATGGCCGAAGGCCTCGAGAACGCCTGCGGGCATGGTGCGTGGGACAGCAGAAGGCGGGATCCGCAAGACGACGAGTAACTCAGCATGTGAGAAGATGAGTCTATCTCGACGTCGTGGATTAGAGTGTAGGCTCGGTGAACCCTGCACAAGCGATCGCGCGTTCGTGGTTCAGCTTGTTGCAAAAGATGCTATGCTGCGTCGTGCTTCTGAATCATTTCCTAAAAAGAAGCCAATGCGTGGAAACTGGCGGTGGAAGCCAAAAACTAGTAGATTGTTTTCGTATCTATCCTCAAGTAATCGAGTTCAGGTTGGAAGAGAAGCATGCATTGCCGAGGTCTCGTCGCGCTGAAGTGGCGGGTCGACCCATTAGCGCAAATCCGGGGTAGCTTAACGACGTCATTAGCGCGGTCGTTGTTGACGGCACTCACATGTGTGTAATCCTGTGGTTGGGAAGAGGCCCACTTTGCCATGTGATCGATCACTTCAAAGGTGGTTTCTCCCACCTTTGCTACAAAAGCGTCAAGTCTTCGTGTGAAACAAACTGCAATTCAGTCAGACTCAGTGAGGGTACGTAATTTAAAGACAAATTTGTAGGCGATGAGCAAATCCAGCGTGTGTCACAACACACATAAGAATCCATGTTCCTCGGTTCACCACGAGAAAATTTTCAAGACACTCTTTAGCTGAGTTCTTCGAGGTGGACCAGGTCATGCGCGCCCATCTATAACGCAGCTCCGATACTCAGTATCCACGCTCAATGCCTGATGTAAAGCTAGAGCCAGACGCTCAACGACCCAAACGCCACTGCCAAACGGCCCAAAGTTTCAGTCCTAGAGAATTGGTATACCGTGAAACCCAGACGCCTCCCTTCCCTTTCATGAAATGCACGAGTTCCTGAGCCAGTCCCCAAGCCGCGAAGCCAGTAACGCATCCGCAAGATGCCGAATGATTCGACATAGTCACACCAAACCGGGGCGTCCGTTTACCTGGTTTCAAGCCCTGCTTGTTACCGACTGCCTACGCTGTGGCTGCCCCTGCATGCTGAAACTTGACGATCTTCGAGAAGCGCCAAAATTGGCGACAGAAGTATCCGGCTCTCCTGGTGCGTCTTCTCCATCAACTGACCCTGAGTGGCCATCAGGCAGTTTTTGGGCACCTAAACCTACAACCTTGAAAATATTGGTTCGGCCACCGTTTGTGGCCATTTGCAGCTGCTCGTGAAGACGTGCGAGCTGGTATTGTCTCTTGATTGGGTTCAACACTGGTTGTGGCACCACGGGCTGCGGGTTCCAGTGCGCCAGCGCGCTCATGACGGCGGCTGTTTCCTCGTCGGAGTCCACAGGTCCCGCATTGGCTTCGTCCTCGTCCTCGAGCGGCGCGTTGGCATCGAGCGCAGCCTCTACAGATTAGATAAAAAGTAAGCAAATCGTCAGTTACATGTAGGGCCCGTTGGGTAGACTTACTCTGTTGCTTTGCCTGGTTCTTCTTCTGATATGCAGCAAGTAGCATGTCGTATGGTAAAGATCGTCCCGCCACTGCACGTTTCGCGCCCATGCTATGGCTCTTGCAGGTCAGTGATCTCGCGCATGGCTGACCATTTGGCAGCAGAACACCACACTGCCGCTCAACATCAACAGGTCCTTTGTAAGGTAAGTATGCCTGCCTTCAGGTGGCTGATATGTGGGCAATTCATACCTTTCGGTTTGGGGGCTTTGGGTTTCGGTTCCTCTTTTTTCTTTTTCTGTTTTGGCCCCTTATCCGCATCGCCATCCGCTTTGCGCTTTTTCCCCTTGCCCGCCTCTCCATCTGTCTTCTTGCCTGCGGCCTTTTTGGCGGTCTTGTTCCCGGTTGTCTTTTTTTCAGCGCCATCGTCATCACCGTCGCTGTCATCTTCACCCTTGCCGTCACCATCCTCGTCGGCCTTTCTGGCTTCCTCCTCTCTCGCGGCCTCTTTGGCTCGCTCGCGGGCTTCTCTCGCCTCCTTCTTCCTCTGAGCCTTCTCTTTCTTCAACCTTAGACACTGCGCAATGTGTGCCTTTGCGGCTGTCTTGAGAATGCTCTTCTTGCAATGTTTGCATTGTTGCAGATCAGGGCTGTCCTCGAGGGGTCGACCGGTCGCAAACGCTTCACGCGCGTTGTCGTCAAGGGGGTTGACTACCGGGCCTGGCGAGGCTACGGAGATTGATGCTGACTCGGAGTTCTTGGACTTTTTGTCATCTAGGAGTCATCTGCATGAGCTTCGTTGCCTGACAGGTGTTATGGTGGCGATAACTTCATCTTACCGTCGATGACGCTCCCTTCCCTCCAATTTCCGGGTTTGCTGTACTTCGGCGCGGGCTTCTTCAGCTTGATAGGTCCGTTGGATTGGTTCTTGGTGTCCTTTTTGGAGGCAACCTTGATCGTTTGCTCATCATCTGGATACGAGGCTTGAATTAGTACGTCTTCGCACTACGGGCGTAACACATAAGGCTCTTTACTCTTTTTCGATTCGGATACAGTCGCCATGATCACTGCTTTTCTGATGCAGGAGAGAGGCTAGGTTAGCGTGCTATGGGCGATGGAGTAGCTTTTGCCGATGGAGGTGGCGATGCGATGCGATGCGATGCGACGGGCTGGGTTGGGTGGCCTCGATGACGCGCGAGGGTGTTTTCGGAGTCCGGCGATGATAAACTCGGCCAGAAGCGTTACTTCATGGCAGCCAGTATGCGCCAGAACACCGAGGTTTCATTGGATGCGCCGTTGTCGTTCGCTGAGAAATGGTGTTGGATTGCACAGATGTGCGGATGATGGCAGTAGTCGACTGTCGTTGATTGATGCCTTGGCTGACCCTGGTGGACGGTAGGCAGGGTCACGCGTTGCGGCTGCAGGTCCCCGCAGTGGAAGCTCCCATAGGTTGTTCGACTCTGCTATCCGTGCCAATATCATCGGACAAATGACGTTCGCACTGTCTCGATATCAAAAGTCACGCGGCCTGATTGCTCGGCCCGTCGGGAGCGAGATAACCCAACAGCACTCAAGAATTCGAATGGTCTTTCACCAGGAAACAGCAAATTTTCCGTACCATTCGTCTCTTGATTCATTCGATTCCGATCCACATAACCAATGTATCGTATCCGGGTTTTGCCAGTAAAAAAAAAAAAAAGCCCTTTCTTGAATGCTCCAACACATCCAAATGTCTGATGCTCCCAAAATGATGGTATCACCTAGCCTCAAGTCCAGATCCCAATGCAGCACAGATATTCCTTTCAGCCCTCGCAATTTCGCAGATCATAAAAAATACCCTGTACGCCAATCGTGAAACCGTCCTTGAACTCATCACCAGTCGTCTGCGAGAATGCCTGCTGCCCCGGTCCTGTGCACCGTGTCTTCGTGGGCTCGCATGGCCTCCATCATCGATCGTGCATGTAGCATGCCCATGTCACTCCATATCGTCTGAATAACAGCCAGCGACCATTCCCAATATTCTTTTGGGACCCCAGGAGCGCAGCCTGCCACTTTTAGGTGAAACAGTAAAGCCGGCAGTCCTGCTGATCCAGCCCCCCCTCCTCCCGGACTCTCCACGGTTACCTGCGCCGTCTCGTCTAAAACAGGGTGTCGCCAATGTGTTGGAGCGCTGACTAAGGTGTCCTTCGCAAGCTTTCGTATGAGCTTGAGGAGCTTGTCGCGCGCAGCTGCTGACAGTAAGGACAAACTTGATACAGGATTCTGATTTGCCAAGTCGAGTAGGGTCTGGTTGACCAGTATTCGGGCCCATCGGTAGTAGTTCCATATGCGAGCAGTCCAGACATCATGATACTTGTGGTATTCACCCTGGAAGACTGCCTTCGGTGGCAAATGGGTCGCGTGGACGACACGATATTCCCATTCCCCCTTTAGCCCCGCCTCCCAAGCCGAAAGGTCAGCGTCCAATTCCAGGAGTTGCTGGATGACATTGGCCGTCTTGGGTTTGCCGTCGCTAACGACGTGATTGTTGATGAAAGAAGATATTTCTACAAAGCGGGCGATCAGGACTGCCAGATCGGTTGAAGGAAGATCAAAAGGCATCTGTAGTTGCGATCCGTAAGAAACCCAGTCGTAGAAGTCCGGAGGCATCGGCATTCCCGCTACGTGAAGAGGAATAAACTACGAAATTAGCATACCTCGAGCGTAGAGTGTGGGGTGAATGAATTACCATCGAGTAACATAACTGCAGTAGGGCTCTAAATCCACCAAAGGGCACGCTAGGCATCGGGCACCAACTCCTCATCAATGCAGCACCACCCATGACATGGGCATGAACAGTGCCTGTCGAATGGTGAGTTCCTTTGACAACCTTTTTAATCGTCAGTATTTGCGGTTCCTCAAGCATTGTCTCGCAAACGCTCTTCAGGGCACCAGCAGCCTACCTCGAACATCGCTAATGCCACGACGGCCCTCATAGTTACGTCAATACTTGGGGTGTGCGGCGGACGTATCAGCTTTCCAGTCTGACGTAGCGCAGACCCATACTTCTCCCGTGCCATCGACATCATTTCAATGTTTCCCGTCAGATTGTGCAGCCCGGCAAGCCCCACGGCGCACATAACATCTTGCAACGCTGGGTGCCATACCCAAGGTTCTGAGGCAAGATCTGAGGCCGATTTGACTTCATCTGGATGTCCTACGAGGTATCGATTGACGTAAAATTGCAGGCCTTGTTCCTCCAGGGTAGGACCAACGCGAATAGTCAAAGGACTCGTCTCCCGGACTGGTTCTTGTTTGACAATCGGTAACACCATCGGAGACACCGAGCCCGGGGAGTGGTGGCTCGAAGATGGGGAGACGGAGGCGGAAACTGGTGAGGCTGAAGCCTTTCCTGACCGTGATGCATTTCCGCCGCTAGTCGGTGTGCTCTTTCGGCTGTAAGCTGGAGACGACGATGGCGGAGTCGGAGCAGTCGACGTGGACAATATAGCAGATCCGTTCTCGTTTTCGGAGCCCTCGGGGACGCCCCACTGCGCGTGAGCTTTCTTGATCACCTTTTTTGACTCGTCTCTAAACATGAGAGAGAGTTGATCTCGGTAGCCAGGGCATTTCTTGCCCACACGAATACATTGTGAGCATTCGGGCTTCACTTTATCGCACTGAAAGGGGTTCTTGTCAGTCACGATACAGCTCGCACCTGTCTGTATGAAGCACTCATCTATTCTCAACGTCTGAAAGAGGGGGGCGGCAGTAGGCTTGGAGATAGCGAACGTGCCGAGGGTGGGACGGGGCGACGCGACTGACCTTGATACGGCGAGTCCGACAGTTTTGGCAACCTTGAGAGGCCTTGCCGCAGTATACCATTCTTGCGGCGGAGAGGCTTTGCAGGCCACGGACGTCAATATCAGTTCCTAGAGAGTCTGGTGCTGATGGCGGCGTTGATGGTGATTCGGTACGAACTGGAGCGGGCTAGGACGACTGGCCCATCACGCGGGGAGAAAGGCAGCACTATGCCACCCTGATGTCGAGCAATAGACCCCGCGACGGTGACAATTTGGGCGGGAACGAGAGACGGTGGCAACGAGGCCGGCGGATGAGTGTCTCGATCGAGTCCAGCGGTCGAGTTGCGTGTGACAAGGTCGAGGTGAGAAGTGACGAGAGGTGGGAGAAAAAGAAGGATCCGCAGCAGTTCCCTATGAGGAGACAGAGAATGACACACAAGGCAAGGTTAAGAGAGAAGTTTAGTCTGCGGAAGACAAGACAAGGCAAGGCAAGGCAAGGCAAGGCAAGGCAAGGCAAGGCAAGGCAAGGTAAGGTAAGGTAAGGTAAGGTAAGGTAAGGTAAGGTAAGGCAAGGTAGGGTATGGTACAGTTCGGTACGAACAGTGTTGTAATTAGCTGCTGGGTGATGGTGCGGAGAGGATTGTCAGCCAAGTCCAGGTTTAGGAGCTGTCCCAGAGTTCCAAGCCGCACTGCACTCTGCGCGGGGCTCCAATCCCAAGTCCCAAGTCCTAGGGTATGATCTTCTCCCCAGTACTAGGCTCTAGTACGAGGCACCTCTAGTATAGGGTTATTCTCTAACATAACAGAAACCTAGAAAAACCTTATTTTTATACGCTTAACCTTTCTAAGCACTAATTTATTACTAATAGTAAGGGGACCCTAATATAATACTTTAGTAGTAAAGTTATATAAAAAATAATTATATACTTCTTTCTTTAGTATATAGTACTTAAATTTTCTACTATTTAAAGCCTTTTTACTATATAAAAAGCTTAGCTTATAGAGAAGGTACTTTTTAACCTTCTCTATAAGTTAGACTTTAATATATAGTATAACTAAAAGTAATTAGACCTCTCTAATAGTAGAATTAATACCTCTACTATGCTTTTTAATAATAATAAAGCTATAAATAAAGCTATAGATATAGTGATTTAAAGTATTTATATTACTTTAACTTAATAAGAGTAGTTATTAGCTAATTATTAAAGAACTATTAATAAGGGTAGCTCTATAGAGGTATATAAGTATATAAGAGGATTACTAATAAAGTTACCTTACTACTTCTTTAAGATATTCTATATAAATAAGTAGTAGTTTAATATATTTATTTAATAGCTAAATAAGTATACTAATTTATAGAATTCTTAATATATAATTATAGAATAAAAACTATTAATATTCCTATATATCTTAAGCTAAAGCTGCTCTTAGTATATTACTACTTATATATTTAAAGTTAACTAAAGTATAGTATTATAGTATATTAACTTCCTACTTACTACTTATATTAAACTATATAAAGTATATATTTAACTTATAGTAGAAGGAGAGATCTTATTAGAGATTAAAGGGGACTTTAAGTAAGAGGCTTTTTTAAGCTATATTAGCGCTATTAATAGCACTTTAATTTATATTTTTATATTAGAAAAAAAGCAGAAGACTTAGCGTTATTAGAAGGGCTTTATAAGCTAAAACGTCTTTATAGTAGTAAGGTTTAATAGTAGTTTTTTATATATACTTATTAATATAGAGGGGTTAATTTATAACTTAAAGCTAGTAATATTTATATATAACTAAAGGTTTATAGTACTAGAGGGTAGATATTTCCTTATTAATATTAGCTTTAGAAGTAAGAATAGCTTTAATATTTTATACTATAAGACTTATTACTATCTATAAGATTAGAAAGATATAGACTTACTATTAGTTATTACTTAGGAGCTATATAATCTTAAGTATAACTAGCTTTAAGTAATTATAGAGCAAGCTTTTAGTTATCTTAAAAAGAAGTTCTATATTATTTAAAGTTTAGCGCTAAAATATAGCTTAAAATAATAAACTACTATAATATATAATAATAGCGCTCTATAACTTTCTAATAATCTACTTTCTAATAAAAATAAAATTAATAAAAAGAGAAAGTTAAAATAATATTAATATTAATATACTATATTAATAGGTAGATAATTACTATATAAATAAGTTAGTAGTAGAGATTTATAAGTTTATAGTAGTAGAGATATAATTAAAATAGCTATAGTAAAAAAAGAAGTAGTAAGTAAAGTAATAAGTTAATATTAATTTTAGTAGAAGTAGGTTAATATTAAAATATATAATAAAAACACTCTTTTTTTAATATTAATATTATATAGTATATATATAAAAATTATATTAAAAAATATATCTCTTTTTACTTCTTTAGTATTTAGTTAATATATAATCTTTTAAGCTTATTATTACTTTCTATTTTATTTTAGAGAACTACTAGTAATATAATAGAGTTTTAAGGCTTTAATAATAGCTTTTTTATAACTACTATATATTATACTACTATTAACTTATTTTAAAAATTTACTTTAAAGTTAATAAGAGCTATATTAATTACTAGTTTACCCTCTATTATCTCCTCTAACTTTATTTATTTTCTCTCCCTTATAAATTAAATATTTTAACCTATATAAACTTAGCTCTTAGTGTTTATAATTATTTTATTATATTTTTATAATCTTAATATATTAAATAAGTATAGTAGTATTTATAATATTAAATATTAAAATAAAAGTATATAAGAAAGTATACTTAATATAAAGTAGCTACTTTATAGAGTTAAAGATATAAGTAAACTAAGTATATTATTAATAATATTATCCTCTTTATTAGTAAAGTTATTAACTTCCTCCTTATTACTACTCTTACTATTTTTATTACTTTTATTAATATTATCCTCTATATTAAAGTCTCTTATTTATATAAGATTATTTATAATATATATACTCTTATTAGTTCTTAAGCCTCTATTTTATATCTCTAAGTAAAGCTAAGGCTAACCTAACCTTATAGTCTATATTTATAATAACTTAAGGTTATTAGCTAAGAAAGCCTTCTTTTTATTATTATTATAGTATATTATATTAGTTATTATATTAAAGGTATTACTTAATTTTAGTATTATTTATACTTATAGAGAGAACCTCTTCTTTTTAGTATAAAACTTATTATATATATAATCTAATATTATAGTATAGTTAAAGATCTTTACGTTATTAAGGCTTTTTATAATCTCTACTTATATTAGCTTTAATACTTATAACTTATTAATATTTAGCTTTTTATTTTAGTAAGTATATAGAAATTCCTATATAAATATTAATATTTAATAAGGTAACTAATAAATCTATATACTTATACTTCTTAATTTCCTTACTTTTTTAAACTTAGCTATAAGTAGAGAGTTATTATTATTTATAGGGGATATTCCCTTTTACTTCTTTAATTATAGATTTAGTAGTTTAACTAAGAGTAGCTTAATCTCCTTAACTTCTTTATTATTAGAGTTAGAACTCTTATTAATAATAAGTATAATAATAATAATATTATCCTTAATCTTTAAACTTTTATTAGCTTACTAATTATTAATAGAAATACTTAGAGTTATTATAAAAAAGTATAACTTAGTAGTTTTTTAGTATATATAATAAGCTATAATATAAGTAAAAGATTATAATAAGTAGTAATTTAGTAAAATATAATAATAGTAGCTCTACTTAGGGGACCCTAGCTTTAAAGGTAGTAAGTATATCTTACACTAAATTTAGTTAAAATACTAACTTAGTAGTAAAAAAGGTACTTCTATTATAATTCTGAAATTATATAAGGGACGTAAGTTACTGTTAAAGTCACTTTTGCCTCGTACTAGAGGTGCCGCGTGCTAGTACTGGGGAGAAGATCACACCCCTAAAAAGAAAAGGGACGGGCGCACGAGAGGGGACCAGCAGGATGAGCATGAAGAGGGGGGGTGGGCGCGGGCGTGGAGGCTCCCGTCGCGGATCCAAATGACACTAGGACCGGGGAGGGGAGGGGGGACAAAGCAGCTGAGTCGTCAAGGGCTGCAAGACACGGGCGGGAGATGTCTAGACTCGACGGAAAGGAAAGACTCTGGGGTTTGGATATGTTGTCTCTGAGGGAAAGGCAGGAGGGCAGTGCTATGCAAGACAGGATGACTGCTAATTAGGCACAGGTTGGCTACCTGAGGTAATTCTTGGTGTGAAGGAATGCAGCTCCCGAGGAGGGATGTGCCCCCGACCAGTTGAAGTTGGCGATGCAGACGTCAGAGAATTGCCCAAGAGCCGTTGATACTCGAGACACCCGACGGTGAAGGTACAACTCGCCTACTAGGGGGGCGCACGATTGTTAGGTAGATACACTAGCGGCATGAGGTCGTCCTAGGTAGGTCCTGTGTCAGTGTTGTGTGTGTGTGTGTGTGTGAGTGTGGCTACAGCTCGGACTTGGGGAAAGCTCCGGCATTGAGTTGAGCAAGGGCACAGGGCGTCCCAAGGCACATACAACCTAGATACCTAGGTAAGGTACCTCACCTCGCAGCGGGATCCGTCAATGAATCCCGCCTACAAGGAGGGCAAGCACGCTTAGGTAAGGTTGACCGAGCCCTACCTATCAGAGAGTTTCATCTCAGAGATGGTTGACGTATTTACGTCAACATGTACAGAAACTTTACTGCGTATCTCTTCAATTCGGACTCGGAGACTGACAGGGCATGCGTGGAAGACATCAAGCATACT